GCAAATTGAGAAACCCCTTTTGAACGATCAGCGAGGGGCAAATCTAGTTGTACGGACCGATTATCATAGTTGAAGCCCTTCGGATTTTTTTTTTGGATCAATGTCGGAGGTGGTTTGAAATTGAAACTGGGGCATCCGTTTTCATTTGTATCCAAAGTACATCTCATACAACACTTGATTAATTGAGTTCAACCGTGAGGACGTGAAATTCCTCTGTCTATCCCTGTTCCTTTACCCCCTACTCTCCCGGCGGCTGAATAAGCGCTCTTCATCGCGCAATTGCAACAATCAATTTGCGGCACCAGCGCACCTGGCATAAAGCATATAGTGTTACGTGGACAATTAGCCATGCTACCTCTATAATAACAAGTGGATCGAAGCCCCATTGGTAGAGCCCCGTGCGCACATCCGAAACGTAGCCATTAGAGGTGTTTCCATGGCGGACGCTGAGGTCTTCGACAGATGACGATTACGGGCGGTCGCCTGGAAATTTAATGCCAGCCTGTCTCGTGGAAACCTTACCGAGAAAATGGTAGGGTTGGAGCTGAATGCATCAGGAAACCTTCGCTTTAACGCTGGGACAACTTTCAAAGTTCAAAAAAGGCATTTTGCCAAGGCGAAGTGCTCAGTAGACATTAGCTTGCCGGATGGCCCAGGAAACAGGCTTTCTGTAGGGTTTCTACTAATGAAGGAGAAGGCCAAAGGTTGAAGCACTACTACTACTTCATGATAATGCTTGATAACGGTCCTATTAGGATCACTTCAAATTGAGGTATTGACAGTTTGCTGCAGAATAGTGCAGCCCAGAGAGACCATAATAAATATTCCTACTTTGGTCTTGTCCCATTACCGGTCAGAGCTATCTGTAGACAACCTCCTAGTACCAGCTGCCATTATTCTGGCTATTTCTCCCATATGTGCATGTAATGCTCACAAATTTCTGGTTTTGCCCTTTTTACTGGCTCCACAAGTATCTACTCCTCTAAGATTCCGAAGTGTTTGGAACATCCTTTGAATGTTGACTCTGAAGTAAACGCGAGAGATTAGCAAATTCAGTATTAATAACTCTGACCACTTAGGGTTGGATCCTTAAAGTGACTTGACATGAAACCCAGATTCCAGGTACAGTAAGGTTCGTTACGTTAGGGGTTACTTACAGTAACGGTCTCCGAAGCACATGGCCTACCGCAGCAAAAGTTACAGCAAAACGATGATCAACGTTGGAGAATTTTTCTAGGAACTGTTGGCTTTGGGCCATATTTTAATCATGATCGAATCTTAGAAAGGTGCCTAATAGAAGTTGTAAAGCATCACCTTTGGGAGCAATATGGAAGCCGTTTTTCTGAGCAGTTACCGACCATGTTCTCATCCGCTACATACCGCTTTCGAGAAATCCTTTTCAGTGATTTTACTCTTGAAGCTATGCATTGTAGGATAGTTTCTTTTTGTTTCTATGGTCTTGGTATATGAACTGGAACTAAGTGTTCCGGGTGCAGAAGCTGTCATCATGTGCTTTCACTATCCTAACGGCTATGCCATACCAGTTAAGCACTGAAACAGCAGCTGAGCAATCAGAACCTGAACTATCATTGGCTTCTGTTTGACTTTTGCCCGAAAAAGCTGACGCTGAGCCGGTGCGGACGATTAGTCGGCACGAATTTCGAGTTGCAGGAAACGGAATAATGCAAAAATGCATTTTGCATAAATCACGCAATCCATTTGATCGGAATTCTTTCCCAATAATTGGAAACATACGCCAGAGGTGCAGCCACCCATACTAATCAATAATAGCTTTCGGGTAGAATTTTTCTCTTTGGTGGGACAGCATGTTGTCGATAATGATCTATGCAATGAAGCGATGCGTTACATTGTTGGGAAATTGAATTGCAATTCCTGGAAATCTATGATGCGTAAGGAGACATCGCCCAGGTTGGAACCGAGGAATGTACCGACTCATATAAAAAAGAGGAAAATGTGAATGTAAGACACAAGGAGGAGGTTGATTTTGTCAAAAGTTTTCTGCTGCCTACAAAAGAAGTTTTATAAGGACGACTAGAATCGGTAGGATTGAGTCATGACGAAGTTAGTTCAGAAGTCAGTACAGATCACAGTCGATTTCAACCAAACCTTCAACACGTCTCAAAATTGAAAGCTGACTGCTCACAGAAAAAAAAACCGAAAAAAAACCCAGACAGCTAGACTGACATAGCAGTGGAGCCGCTGTCATGCTGCGGGAAGGAAGTCATGGACCCGAACTGTCTTCAGTGACCCACAAATAGTCCAGTGGCTTCAACTTAATAATCATTAAACTTTCCGTAGAGGGATATGTGTCTAATTCTTGGAAAGCTTCTTCTACGGGATTTCCCTGTGAGACTTTCGATAGAAAGATGGGATCCATATGATCCTTCTTTCCTATGAAATGCCCTCGTTTCTCGTGAGTGGGCTAGTTTCCCTACACAACTAAAAAATTTTCTGAAAAGATCTCTGCCTCAGCTATCCGTCCCCTTCTCTACCAGCCATGAGATGTCAAAAAAGAAAAAAGTTGAAGGGAGCAAAGAAAAACTTTTGAAAGGTGGACAAAAGGCATGTCAAACCGGAGGGTTTACATCTCTCTCTCTTTTTATTGATTTAGTAGGGGAAGCACAGGTGGGTTTGATAGTTGGGTGGTCCCTATTTAGACTCGAAATCTGAAAAATGCTGAGGTTCACCTAAGTACTGTTATAAACTTAGTAGGTTTCAGGCATGATTTGGGAATTATTGGAAAGTCTATAAAGATGGCCTAAGAAGCTAGCCTACTGGAAGGTTAGTCGATTACTTGAACTATGAGAGACGCCAACTCAACCTCGTATTTTTGAAGTTCAGTGGGAACCATTGGTAGGAGCCAGTTTTGACTCATATGGACCTATTGAAAAAATAGTGGCTTCAGATTCCGACGACGAGTACGACGACGATGAATCACCCGAGGCAATCGATGAGCATGCATTCCGACGTCTACGATTGGCGGACATGCGAGCCAGTTGGGCGGAGTCAGGGTGGTTGGCGGTGGCGTAATCGCCTTTCACCATTTCGCTCACATTCTATTCAGCACTTCTCCAATAGCCGATGTTCTGCGGTTAGTTTTAGAATCGATTCGGAATATTGATTTGATCACTAGAAAGCTGTAAATGGTGGGTTAGAAGGGAAATTTCCCTTCTTAGACTCCTAGACCGAACAAACTTCCAGGTAGGCATTACTTCCAAGACTTTGAAGCGGAAATTGAAAAAGGGTCCGATGCCTAGTTGTTAGTGTAGAATCGATCAAATTCCGCTTCCGGATACTCAACCTGGTGTTGTTTGCTGAGTGTTGAACATTGTGTGGGTTCAGTAAACAACCCAGGAATTGATAAGGCTCTGCTTTGGTCATTTTCGTTCTGAATACCGACTTACCTCTCTTGCGATTCTGTCTGTACCTCCATTTCTCTATAGAACTTCTTCTCCTGAGGTTTATACGACGAGGAGTCATCAATCTTCAATCCGAAGTACATTTTCAATCTGCTAAGAGCCTTCATCTAGCTCCAGCAGCAAAGGCTTCTACTTAACGTTTTTCGATTCCCCATTGAGATATTTTTTTGCAAATGTATCAGATTAATTCAAGTGCAGTAGTTTTACGCCTTTCTGCTGATATGGATATGATCCTCATCCACTTTTCTAAAGAGGAGCGACTTCACAACCTCCAGAATCACTCAGCAGAGAATACTGTACTATCTATTGCTGTGTCGAACTTTCAATGGTCTAAACCGGATAGACTCTGGTTCCTCCTTTCTTCTCCGAACCCTATTCGTCCGAATTCGTCCGAAAGACTCTGTTTGAACGCCAGGTCATTTAGCTAGTTGCCTATCGTCATTTCCCGGAATAAAATAATCTTTTTGTTCGAGATTTTCGAGCATCTATGGATTCTTTACAAAGTCTGTTCTCTACCTCTGTCTCTACGTCTATCAGAGATTTTATTTTTCTACTACTGGCATGGCAGAAGACACTTCCTTGAATATTGTCGAAGGAAAAATTGGGAAATTCTATGTTATTTGCGGCCCCGATACATCCTTCTGCTTTTTTTTTTCACACAAAACCTCATATTTCAGTAGTATTCCTCAGAAAGCCATTATTTTCATCAAGCTTACTTTTTTTTCGAAAAAAAACTTGCGGTACGGTTCTTGCTCTCATCTATCAGACCCTGTTTATCTACTCGTGAGACTTTATCGATATCTGAAAGTCCTAAAATCCTGGAGAATTCTCATAATTTCCTCTTTACTGTGGCTCCACGCCGACCAGTCGTCGAAATATAGAAAAGGCATGGTTGAGATGAATTAGTACGAGCTGCTTACTCATCAGTACCACCTATCAGGCGGTAGGGGCTGAAAGTATTTTCGGGTGCTGACTAACATTCAGACTGAAAAATTCTCAGAGGGTGCTTAATCAATATGCTGCAACTACGGTAGTTGGATGCCGCTCGGGCGCCATTGATTCGCTCCAGGAGGCAATAGCCCATGTCAGAAGGCTCTATCGATCCACCGTAATTTGCCATTTCGAAATAGAAACCTTTGGAAACTTTTTTGAAGGATAGATGGGCTGATTTTCTGTTTGCATCAGAGTTTCTGAAAACGAGCTGCTGTTGCTGCAGCAATGGGTGTTTGCGTTGAGGCTTTTCCATCCACCCTCGTTTCGCCGTCTGGTTGTGCCGATCCGAAAAGTTCACGACCTTTTCCATGTTGAAGGCTCCCTCCGCATCCAGACGGAAACCCTTCCATTGATTTTTTCTCCTGAGGTATTCAATGTCTCTGAACAGAACAGCTGTGCATCACAGTTGAACAAGCCTCAAGGGCAACATCTCCCTAATAAAAAATGTGATTGGGAAGCAGACCTGGACACGAAAACACGAATTGTAGAACAAAGCGGTACTGGTTTTTACTTGAAGGCTGTCTTCATCCGCAACCACCTCCAGCGTCATCTGACGAGACCACCAAGATGCTAACCGCTAAGCCACGGCACAATGAGCCCCAATCGTTCGTCAACACCACTAATAAGGTACGGTAAAGATTTGTACGTAGACTGTAATCAGCCGATGTGTCAGTCCGGCAGATTTCTCATTTTTTTGATACTGTTTATAGAGGACTATGCTGACTCGGGGCTTCCCATTGTAATGAATGCTCGAGTTCGTGTTGATTCGACTTCACCGAACAGATTTAGGATGCCTTAGCAAACCTGGTCGACCTTGAAGAGGTTGTTATAAACTGGGCTAAGCTGATTTTCGACACCACGAAATCCAAGGCCGAGGCAAAGATTAAGAAGAAATATCTATCGGTGAGTTATTTTTCTGACAACGAGTCTTTCCAATATTCATAATCCCATATAAAAATATCATGTATGTATGAGTTAGCCTCAACGAGTTTTCCAAACCTCCCTACTGGAAATGTTTCCATAGAGGGCGTGTGAGGGGGACAGTCTCGAGAGTTTATCTTGCTTCAAACAATGGATTGAGCATTTTGTCTATAAGACCNGATATTGGCTTTTTGGTCATTTTTTTAAAAACCTTAGTAACGTATCTGAGACTGCTCAAGCAGTTATTTGAACTAATTGCGAGTTTCAACGAACAGATCTACAAACGCCCCTCCAATAAATCAAAAATTTACAACACCGGTCTTCAGGCAGGCCACCCATAGAAGGAATTAGCATAACTATTATTAATGTGACTTTCGGTTTGAATCCGTATTTGGAGTCGATTTGAAAGGAACAGTTTTTTCTATAAATTTATGGAGATCTCTGAAGAACGGACGGAAGAGACAGGCTAACACAAAGATCACACAAAATCCAGACCTCATAAAAGCCCCTGATAAGTGAACCACTATATTTTTCGGGTACTAAAATGAGCATCCGCTTTCAACGGAAGCGGTTGATTCCGAGTGAGAGGCAGAACTGTTCAGCGGAAAATTACAATTAAATTACAATTACAAGGTGGGACTTACCATAATTCCCAAATCGGGGGAAACAGGTCCAATGAGCTCTTGAGGATATTCGGAAGCTACAGCGATGACTGTTTCTACTCAAATTTCTCTTTGAATTTTTTAATACTTTATAAACCCACATTTGATAAACTAGAATACTCGTTTTCAACATCTCGGACTTCCCAATTCTCATTATAAAGATATACCGTCAACGAATGATTTTTTAACTTTTTCGACTAGTAATCCGCTTTTTATGGTCATTTGTCACGTTAGGATGTTGTAATTGCTCTTCCACAATTCTCATTCTCATGCATGCTCCCCACTCCAATCATTCCGTTTCCTGCTCGATTTCCCTCTTATAATTGCGAGGAGTATACCCAATATCCCTCATTATGTGCTGATCTTGTTAGGTCGATTCCGTCGCCGGAAACAAAATGCATTACCGGCTGTCCGCCGCCAATCTATTAGATTGCTTGAAATACTCGACTACCCGATTTTATCGCCCGGCTCAGATTCGATAGGGGGTAGTCGAGCATGTTATTGAATAATATTCTCAGGGAGCCTTCCATGGTCACCAAGTTCTTTGTTCGTCTCCCTAAATGGTCTTTTTTGAGAAAAATTACCTTCCCAGGTTTGCGAAGGTTGCCAATTATACCTCGAAATCGTTGCCTCGCT